AGAGAGAGAGAAACGGAGAAACATCAATTTTTTAGGGAAGAAGGATTGTTTTCATTTTAACAATATGCCGGTTAACGCCACTTTTCAAAAAAATTTTATTGATATATGCGCAACTAGATAACAAAATGAGATTGTTTTGTTAGCCAACAAAAAGTTAAAATTTGTTTTTGTGGGTTTGATTTATTGTAATAAATGCTGAAAATTTTTGATTGCAAAAAAACTAATTCAATTTTCCATATACAATAATCAACTGTGAGAAACCGAAAAGTGTCATTGCCGTTTGTGTTTTGTTAATGGCACTAATTAGGTGATGAGCAAGTTGTGGTGAATGTCAGCAACCACTGCCACAACACTAATCATCAGCTAATGCTAAATCGCTCAATGCTGCAACAATTTCAATTTTCAATGTGTGCTCACATGAGTTTTTATTTGTGACAGTGAAGTGTGTACTGATGCTTATGCTTTTCTAAATCGGTGACCGATTGAGAGTGAAACACTTTCTTTCAAGTGTGCTTGCACATATCATTCATACTAGTTAAATAGCTTTCATTATGTCTATTTTTCTTTTTTACTTCTCTTCCACGTTCACTTTTGTCTACAACTGCTTTGCATATTACTTTGTCAACTAACTCAACTGGTCGATTACATCGCTGTTTGTTTCGGTTCAGTGCCAGCCTTTTTAACTAGTGTTCAAAGTTTAATGAAAAATTTGTCCACTGTTTGTGTAGTTGCTGTTCACAATCTTTTGCACAGAGTAGTGTTTACCAAGTTTATCGAGCGTATACTAGCCTTGGTAACACAATCGCCATTGAAAAGCTTCAGCACATGTTTGATGCGTCTTGTTTGTGCAGTTTTGCTGACTGAACTGTTAAAAATCGCCAAAATTGTTGTTGACAATTTACAAAAGTTTTTACTCAAAATGAACAACAAAATAGTTGCTCTAACTGTCCTTCTCTGTGTTTTTACCGTTGCTCAGTGCAATCTTCTATTTCAGTGCAATGACTTTAACCCTAAGGAGCCAACAAAGTGCGGCACTAACATTGCCGGTGCCCACAACTGGACTATTCACAGCACCAAGACACTGCCCAATGTGCTCTCTAACGTCGTGGACATCTTCGATGTGCTGTACCTGGATGGCAACAGCTCAGCACCGGCCAAGTACCGCCTCAATAGAATTAGTCGCTATGAACTGGGAGTCTCTGACACCTTGTGCATTCAATATGCCACCCTGTCATCGGACAACTGCGTAAACGACCCTGGCACAGGTGCAGTTTGTGATGCTAATGTTACATTGAGCAACTCCATACTTGGACTGGAAACTTTGCCTGAACGTCGGTTTACCTTTTTTGATCAAGGCTGGAATGTAATCAATTTTCAGTTTGACCTGTCATTAATGGGCGTTGTAAAACGAAAATCGCTCAACGTACTTCTTCATGGTTTCATTGAAGTTGGCCGCACAACTCCTAAATCTCCCCCTTACATTGCCATCAAGTTCATTCAAGTAAACAATAACTCGTGCACTGATAGAATTGGTCCTAGAAGTAAGTTTTTAATTTCAATAAGTTTTAAAACTTACAATGATTTGTGTATTTATTTTATTGCAGAAGCGTTTTGGATTGCAGTTATGGCCATTTTCTGCGGCATCACTGGACTGACTTTCGTTGCCATTGCAGTCCAGCACATAGTGTTCGAACACAAAAAGAGAACTAAACAACTTACAAACAAATCGCTTTACATGTAACATTGCGCCACACAGTGTCAGCCAATTAAAGTACTAGCGCTTTAAAACAGAACATTTACAAATGAAGCTTAACACAACTATTTTTTGATACATTATGTACACTTATTAAAAATTTGTGTGTGTGATATTTTTATGACTACTTTTGATTTTATTTTCCTGTATTGATATTTACACACGTTTCTACACAATTTTTTACTAGTTGGAAGTTTATTCTAAAACGTTTTGTGATTCGTTACACAAACTAACATTTTAAACTATTCACATTGTAAATGTATAAAAAATGTACAAAACAAATACCAAAAGTAAAAAACATCTTGTGACGAAAAAAATGGAAACATGAAAAAGTGTAAGCTCTACTCATTAACGGGAGATTTAGTGGTAAAGTCTGAACTACGTGTCGAGCTAGGCGAGGTAGAGCCTCCTTCAGCTAGTGCTTGCGTTGAAGAGTCAGGCGATGATTCCTCATCACCGGAAAGTTGTCCCTCCAGCGGTAGTCGACGTACTACCTGCTGTGCAGTAGGCGGAGATGATGTACGACCGGAAATGTTATCCCGCTCATCATCATCATCATCATCATCATCATCATCATCACCTCCACCACCATTATCATCACCCTCATCACCCTCGATGTTCTCAGCCTCGGCGGAGTGGTCGTCATGTGGCTGCAGCGTAGAAGGCAACGAGCTTGGCCGCGATGATTCACGTTGGTGTTCATGCGTTTCCGAATCTGAGTCTGACTGAGTGAGAGTCGCCTTTCCGCTGGCCACTGATTCAGTCGACTTGGTGGAGTCCTCTTCCTCCTCACTGGAGGAGTCAGTGTAGGAGATGGTGGCGTTGGAGGGCGACCGTTTTGAGGAGGCGGTGGTGTTCGTCGCGAGGAAGACCTTTTTTGTGGGCGCCGTCGTTGGCTTGGCACCTCGGGGCGCCATTGGCGGCAACGGCGGCGGAACTGGTCTCTTTATGGACGACTTCTTTTTCTCCTTACCGCCGGCCCTTGCCTCCTCTCCCTCATTGTCCGATCGGGAGCTGGAGTTTTTAGGCTTCAGAATTCGGTACTTGGAGCTTGGTGGCCGCTCGTAGTGGCTGCCACTGTTGCTGCCAGTGTCCATCATCAGGTCTTCCTCGTAGGAGACCCCTCTAGCACCGTGCTCTTTGCTGGACGTTGTGCTCACACTGGAGGACTGCTTCTTGGGGCGTCGTAGAATGGTGGCCGTCGGCTTGGAGTAGCCATTAGAGACGTTGGTGTTGGTGGAGTCTCGATGGGTGACGCTAAAACAAAAAGGAATACACAAGGTATAAAAATGTGTGAGTTAAAAACAATGCAACATGAAGAAAAAGCAAATGAACCTACTTTTTGAGAATCGGTTCATGCCCATTAGCGTAACCATTGACCCTGTTGGCAGATGTTAGTGGCGCTGGGCCCCGATTGAGCGACTCCAAACTGCTGGAGCGAATGCTGTGGCCTCCTGAGTCAGGCGGCGAGGCCGTCGCATTGACAAACTGCCTGATCCGACTGGAGACATTGAAGACCGTGCTGCTGGTGGATTTGTCCGCCTCCGTCTCATTCGACCCCGGGGGACTTTGCACCGCCCAGTGGCCCACTCCTCCTCCTCCTCCTCCTGCCGTGGAGGGCGACCGGCCGGAGTAGAGCAGCTCCTCATTGGTGAAGTAGATGGCGCCGCGGTTTCGGTAGTAGATGATCACGCAGATGATGACAATCATCAGGATGATGATGATCAGCAGGGCGAGGACCAGGCCGACGTTGGGTTCGGTGGTGGAGACGCGCAGTTGAACCGTCGGGTCGGTGCACCATTCCTGAGTAGGGTGTAAAAGTTATAAAACAATTGTTTATGAAGAAACAAAAAGGTGTCGTTAATACCAATTGCCATTCCTCTAGCGTATGCAACTGATAACCTTCCAGTTGCGGCGGAAAAGTGCACTCTGCGCATCGGTTCTGCTGCTGGCAGGCATTTTGGTAAGCGGTCAAAGGGCGGTCGCCAGTTGAGCTGACCAAGTTGCGGAAGACCAGCAGGTGACACCGAAAACAGGACCAAGGGTTGTGGTCAAAATAGGCAAAAGTTAGGTTGACCAGATTTGAAAGGGTAAAGAGAAAATCGGCGTCCAGCTCAAACAGGCTATTATGCGATACGTCAATCACCTCCAGTGAGTTCATCTCTTCAATCAGCTTTGCGTCCAGTTGATTGAAGGAGTTGTGCGAAAAGTTGACCGACTTTAGGTACTTTCGATGGTTGGAAAAGAGGTTCACTGGAAGCAGTGCCGAGTCGAGGCTCAAGTTTGAGAGGGACACCTTTTCGAGAACACTCAGCGGAGCAATCAACTTGGCGACGGCAGTTGATGGCTCCTTCAGTGAGCGAATGTTGGACAGGTCAAGCACTTTCAGGCAGAGGGCCAACGGAGTGAAGGTGTTCCCGTCAAAGGCTGTAAAGTTGTTGTTTGACAGATTCAGCTCAGTGACAGTGGCGTTGAGAAAGGTTTCAGAATGCATCTGCACGAGAGCATTGGCGGACAGACCCAGACGGGCTAGGTGGTTGCCGAAGAAGAGCATCGAGGGAAGGACGACCAGCTGGTTGCCATCCAGGTACAGCTCAGTCAGGTTGGGCAGATAGCGATACTCCTGCTTGTGCAGCGACTCAATGTGATTGTTGCGCAAGTCAAGCAGCTCCAGATTGGGCACATTGCGGTAGAAGAGAGAGTGAAGCTCGCTAAGACGACAGTTAGACATGTGCAGGCGGCGAAGTGGCCGCAAGTCGATGGTGTTCTGAGGAGTGATCTCCGAAATGGGATTGTCACTTAGGTCCAGTGACTCGAGAATGGTTAGGTTGTAGAAAAGACGAGTGGTGATTGTTCGAATGCGATTGTGCGATAGGTTAAGATGACGAAGACTGATCAGATGCTGAAAAGGTGCCGAGGTTAAGTCTGAAAGGGTAGTGAGCAACATGTAAACATCAAAGTGACAACAATTCAATAAAATCGTTTTATGTACTAATGTTTAAAAACTGGGCTTTTCAATAACAAAAAGCAAAGTGAAATTCACTTACCAGTTAAAAAATTGCTACTCAAATTTAAAGCCTCCAGCTTTCTCAATCCTTTAAAACTGGCGTCGATGAGATTTTCAATGACATTGTAGCTAAGGTCAAGTTCGGTCAGACTAGTTCTATATTGAAACGTCGCTTGGCCAATAGCGGGAACATTGCTGTGCAGAACGCGAAGTACTTTCAGTTCAGGGAACCGATAGAAGAGCGGTCCCAGTGTTAGGTTGTTCTGACGTTCCTTTGTTCCTCGAATTTCAATAAACTCAATATGAGGTGGAATTTTGTAGATGGGCAGGTGGTGCATCGGTCCAGTGTCGCAGATGATCTGGCGCAGTCCTGTCACGGAGGATGTTCCGCAGAGACGACAGGGACAGTCGCTGGTCCAGTTGCGGTACATTGCCGTTGAGGAGTAGGTGTACAGTAAAGTGGAGTTAGTTGAAGTGACCACTGGCTTGTCGGTTCCCGTTTTGGCCTGCACAACATTTGTTGCATAAGCAGATTGCTGCTTATTTGCTGTGGTCACTTGAAGTAGTACAAAAGCAAAAAGTGTAAATGTATAAAAAAGTTTATAAAAATAAATGACCATTAAAAGATTTGATACATTTATAAAACGAAACTTTAGTTTTTTGTGTTTGAACAGTTTAAAAGCCATTTTGCAGGCACAATAATAATAAATAAATAAAAGAAATTATTCAAATGAATATTTTATTTATCAAGGAACTAAAATTTAGTTAATAGTAGATAAATGAAGTATAAATTGATTACAAAAAGTTGTCAAAAAATAAAGTAAAACAGCTAAAATGACCATGTTCTTGCTTTGCCCACTTGAGTGTATCTAATTTTGTCAACACTTGCTTGCTTTTTATCTGCTTCAACATGATGGTAGGTGCGTAAATGAGTTTTTGCGTTTTTACTTTTTTTCTTTTTGTCTCTTTTCTTCCTCAGCCTGGTTCAATTTAGTGTGGCACACTGGCGCTCTAAGGCGTAGTTTCCAAATTGAACACTTTTACTTTTACTGGTGCAATGGTTCCAGGTTAGAGGTAAGCCACTGCAATTGACTTCACAATGCCCTGCTCTTCTTTTCACCCCTGTCTGAAGATGATTTGTGTGTATGTGTGTGTGTGTGACGAGCCTGTTTCAAGAGACCCCACCTCAGCCGTTAAGGTTGTTGCCTTTTTCAGCGAGCAATCACTACTACAAATTAACTAAACGCCATGAAAAACTGGACCAAAGTAATAGGATGAGAATAGTCATACCTTTTGAGTAAGTCTCTCTTTCACTAATTGATGATGACAATTGCTCAATTGTTAAATAATGTTGTAGCAATTCTTTAATTGCCTTTAAAACCAAAATGTAGGTTTTCAGGTTAAAATACAAAAAAATTAATTGCAAATTGTAAATTACTTTGTTATATTTTAAAAGTAATTATTAATTTAACTATTTTTTGTTTTTTCACGTTTAAGGACAACTGTCTAACTGTTTTAAAATTTAATTAAATTGAAAAAAATGCAACAAAAAAGATTGTTAATATTTAATTATTAGATTAAGCAAATATGCTTTTTACAAACGTAGTATTTACTTTGGTTAATTACAACAAGTTTTGTTTCATTTTAGTTTGTTAAAATGTTTTTAGGTTAAGCTTTTAGCCCGAAAACAAACAATTGCACCAGTTCTGTGTTTTTCCAGAGAAAATTGAAAAAAGTGACTTCATGTCTAGTGAGTTTGCTGAGTCAAACAGCAATCAATGACTAGGGCTCGGTTAGGCGCCAAAGTGACACTTCAGTGACGCGTCAGGCAGACACATGCTAACTTGTCTTCCTTATGATAGCAAACAGTCATCTGACTATGCCACTACAAACAGATTTTCACTTTTTTCTGAAACGCGTTGTGGATTAAAATAAAGCACCACACCCAAATTGCAATTCACTTTTAGTTCCGTGTTTTGAGCATTCTGATAAAAATAATTGAACTTAGCATAAATTTATCTGGTTTAATTTTGTGTCTTTTAAAATGAAAATTTGTCAATGTTTCAAAACTAGCTCAATAATTGAAATTTATTATGCTAAACGTAAAACGACTTTAAATAAAAAACAAAAATTTAAAAATAAAATTTTTTTCTATTTTTTAAATAAAAAATATATTTTTTTGTAAAAATCAATATTGTAGTAGATAAACTGTATTAGATAAAATAAACTTAATTTGTTTAAAATGACAAAAACAATAAAATCAATTATTTGCTAGACATTTGACTGAATAAAAATATTAACACTTTGTTTATCAATTTTTATGATGATTTGAGAAAAATAGCGGCAAGCGGTTTAGTTATTGTTGTGGTACAAAACAAAAAAATTAAAAAAAAATTTTTATGATATTTTAGTCAACAATTTTATAAGATTCATTAAATGAATACATTAAATTTTTGTAAAACAAGTAAAATTAATAAATGGAATAATTGTTTGTTAAATGGTAAATAACTTTAAATACTAAAAACATAAATTTAAAATTGTTTAAATTTATTTAACGTGTGTAATTGTTTCNAAAAATTTTTATGATATTTTAGTCAACAATTTTATAAGATTCATTAAATGAATACATTAAATTTTTGTAAAACAAGTAAAATTAATAAATGGAATAATTGTTTGTTAAATGGTAAATAACTTTAAATACTAAAAACATAAATTTAAAATTGTTAAACTTTATTTAGCGTGTTTAATTGTTTTTTTGTGTTTTTCATATTATCGATTTCATTAACCAAATCTTTAAGAGTAATTTCATCTTTTTGAAGACTCCAAATCTGTTTCATCAAATCATAGTTCACAGAGTCGTTGACAATGGAGTCCTGTTTGTAGTCCGGATGATTATAAATAAAACTGCGAATAACATTAGCTGGAGTTGGGTTGGTGCCGTTTGCACGATTGGCAATAATTTGCAGATACTTGTTGATGCTGCACCGTGTCAGTGCTTCAATTTTCATTGAATCCAAATATGCATGCAGCAGTGGCAGTAACCCGGGGAACTTCTTCTTATGCGATCCATTAATTATTTCATCGACGCTCATTTTGACCGATTTTGTGTACATTGTTTCCTTTGTAACGTCATTCCGTTTTAAACACGGAGTAACTTGCTCTTGAATACGAGCCGCCGCTTCGCATTCATTTGCTGCAAAATGCGTAAGAACACATTGCGGCAATGAGAGGTCCTTGCGAAACCAAAACAATCCGTCCAAAACGGCATTGCGTTTTTGGCCTTCTTTCATGTTCTCTTCAACCTATTAAGAAGGTAAAGTTAATGGTACACACACTAAAATGCAATAAAAAAGCTAACATACGCGAGAGATTGGAATCAACATGTCAAGGTTGAAAGAAAGAATTAGACGGGTCATCAAAACGATGAAAACGACAAAAGCAGCATTCTCTTCATCAGTCAGCTGAACTTCCATCGGACGAAACTCCACACGCCATCCAATTTCCTTAGCACCAGGTGGTGGCGGTTTAAAGCGCATACTTTGCCAATTGGTAGATTGAATGTTCTTAAAGTTCAAATTTAAATCAGTGTCAAAAATTGCAGATTATCTCAAAACCGAAAACTCACCTCAAAATGATCCGACTCTGTCTTGTCGTCAATGTCAAGTTTTTCCTTGAACAGCACCAGCGGGTCGCGAATAAAGAGGTGAGAGATGTGTTCGGCGAGCAGTTCATCCACACCTGACTCAATCAGCCGGCTGTAGGCCTTCTCATTGCGCACTATCTCAATGTCATTGTAGATCTTGTTGGTGGGGTAGATGTACAGGTCGACGGAGTCGTAGCGCGACTTGGGAATGCGCCGAACGGTGGTGATCGCCTCGCCGGTGGCCGGATCAGTGCCCGTGATCTCGGCCTCGGTTCGGTCGTCCACCGAGCCGGCGATGATTGCCCAGCGACAGTCACGGTCAGTGAGGTAGCCGCGGTGGGCGGGCGAGGCGGCGCTCATCGCCATGAGAATGGGCGTCAGCGGGGTGAGCTGGTCGTAGAGGAGGCGAGCTTCGCAGACATTCGAGGCGCCAAAAGTGACCTGCAGACAGCAGCAGCCCATGCCGAAGCCCATCGAGTCGAGGAAAATGTGGTCCGCCTGGCGGTACCGCCTCTCCCGCGCCCGCGCCTCCACCTCAAAGGCCGTCAACTGCTCCGGCGAAAGGGCCGCCCGATCGATGTTCATCTGCGCAAAGAAGTCCTCCACAAAGGGGCTGGCAGTGTTCACGTCCCTGAAGATGGGCACCTGAATGTTGGCCGGGCCGCCGCGTCGCTCGCAGATGTGCTTCGAAAGGGTGCCAAAGCGAGGGTGGCCCGGATTGATGGCTGGGTTAGAGAAAATTGAGCATGTTACCACTTGTCATCATTTTACTCATTAACGTACCTTCATCAGGAAAGAAGAGCGACTTGGAGGTGCCATCCACAGTGCCGACAAAAGTCGGCGGCGAGCAGCTGTCCAGAGTGCCAGATCGAGGAAATGAGCTGATGGAGAGAATGGCCTCGTTTGGTCTCAACAGCGACATCACCTCCCGTCGACGAAGGCGCATATTCTCCTCAATGTCCTTAAAGAAGGCAAACATGTGCAGTGGCGAGCTTTCGCCTCTCTTGCTCTGCCTATTTTCCTCATCATCATCATCAGCACAGTTGTCCAGCTTTGGCGTGGGAGTGGACGTTCCACTGCCAGCTGCTGCAGTCTCCAGTCCGCCGTCCAGGGCAATCTCGTCGATCAGCTGATCAATGCGTTCCAGACTGCACTTGTGCTTCAGTTCATGCTCCAGGGGAGTCGGCGAAATGCCGTACGGCACGCCGGGCGTTCCCTCGATCATGTACGCCGCAAACTCCGGTCGCCACAGTGAGGACAAGTCAGTCTCGCCTGCCTCTTCAGGTTTCTGAAGTGTCGTCAGGAGCTCGGTTGAGGCGCGCAGCGCTAGGCGGACTTTTCGGTTCTGATGATCAAACTCAAGGACAATGTACTCCACCTGAAAGTTGAAATAGGCAATTATTGTTATTAAATGTAAATACTGTTGTCTATTATTCACGTTATCACCTCATCGCCCCATTTCAGTGTGTCGTCGCCTTTGTGACGACGGGCGTGAAAAATGTTGAGGAACTGCTCAATGCCATGTTCACGCACAAACTCAGCTAGTGCTTTAGTTTCGGTCCAGCTGAGTGGTTCTCCAACTGTTAGTAGACCCATTGTTTGCAAATCGCTGGCTTGACTTGGTGCTAGTTAAGTATAGGCAGTTTATCAGAGAATTTCTGATCAAATGCAGTTGAGAATCTGTAAATAAAAGCAAAACGGTTTTAGGCAAAAACTTGACACAGTAATTTGTAGAAACAAAGTAAGTTTTTGTCATCCTAAGTTTCAAAAAATGCAAACATGCACTAAACCAATATTGTTGACTTGAATAAAAACCTGTTATGAATAACCGGTATATGTTGCAATTCAATATATTACACACTAAAGTTACCTAACAAGGAAAAGACGATAAAGTTAGCAGAAAGCTAAAATATAATAGTATTTCTGCATGCAAGAGAGCAATAAAAAGTATTGGAAAAAGAAACAGAAAGAAGAGCTAGGCAATCAACAGAACAAAAATGTCAACAAGCAATGAGCAGAAGAAATGCAAGTCAAGAGCGTGTGTGTCTGTGAGCCGTTTCATTGGCGCAGTGCTGCCATCATCAGTGTTCACGGCAATACAAATGTGCATCAAACCATAAGTTTGGTCATCATCGCTGATAAACAAAATACTAAATGACAGAATGAAGGGCAAACGGTGAATTGTACAGTTTTGATGAGATAAAAAACTTAATGCAATGAAATAGTTATCATAGAAAGACACACCAAAACTAAATTAATTAAGTTGATTTTTCAAATTTTTAAAAGGGTGAAAATACATGAAAAAAACATTAAACTCAAATGTAATTAAATAAACTTATTAAAACAACAAAAATTTCTATTGCACAAAAAAATTTACATTCAAAAAAATGAATGGTAAAAAGTGAATCAAAATAATCGGCAAACAAAAGCAAATAATTCTTTACAAAATAAAAACATAATAGTTTTAAATTGAAACAAACAAAAACAACAAAATAAAATGCTTTAAACAAAATTTAAAAAAGTTGCAAAATAACTAAAAAATAATTTTAAACACGTAACTAATACGTTTTTTGAAAATTTGTCTTTTTACTTAAAAAAGCTATGACAGTATTTATAAACACTTTTAAGATATATGCACTTAAAGTGCAAAATAGCAACAATTTAAATCTTGATAAATAAAAAAATTGCATCAGCACAAAATTTAAAAAAAAGTTGTGTTGAACGCGTAATTGTAAAAAAAGCAAAATACTTGTATTTGTAATTAATTTCAAAAAGTTTTGCGTTTTTAATTAAGCTACTAAGTTCAACAAAAATCATTTTATCAATTTAAACTGATAAAAAATATTCTGTTTTGTTTAAACACTTTTTAAAAAATGTTTAATCAAAAACAATTTTAAAAAACAAAATTTTCAATTTTGCACAAATGTTTGCTACAAAAAACTAATTTTAAAAAATGACAAAAGTTTTTATTTGAATAAAAATAGGTTGACTTATTTACAATTAAGTACTCACAATAACACCATAACAACACCACCACTAAATTTTTAAATAAAATTACAAAAATCAATTATGTTTGGTATTAAGTTATTAGTGCAAATTAAATACATAAAATAAAAAAGTCTTTTTGAAAAAAGTTAAATATAATTTAAATAAATTTTAGTAAAATCAGCAGTATTAGCTTTAAATCAACTTTAGTGCACATGTTTTGTTAGACGACGCAAACTTTATATTTGTTTTCGAAACACTGATGTTAAGTTATTTGCATTTAGTTTACAAAAAAACAAAAATTTGATGTTTTTTTAAAGTTACAACAAAAAAGTTAAAAAACAATTATTTCAACTTTTAATTTGTTTTTAAATAGTTCAACGATTAAAAAAAGCGCAACCCCCAGCAATAAGCAACAAAAGTCCACCTAAAGACATTGTAGCAATCAAGCTAATAGTTGCTACTTTTTTCGGTGTTAAAACTTTATCTTTTAACTTTTGAGCATTTTCATTGTCAATTTGACCACTTTCTTCAATTATCATTAGAGGAACAAATGCTTTTCCATAAGTACTTTTTAGTCCGTCCAGAAAACCGGTACTTTGCAAAGTAAAAAGCCAAAAATATTTTAGTTAAAACGATTTAAACATTTTATACTAACATACCCAACACTGTTATTTTTTAGTTGAATGTAAAGCTGGAGTCGTTTTTTGGCATTTAACACGACGCCTGTGAGCGGCTCAATGTCAAGGTAAGTGCCGTAGTTTTCATAGCTCATCGGCAATGGTGGCAGCATTGTAGTGTTTTTTAAATTTTCAGTGAATGGATAAAAGTACGGTGTGCTGACGAGCATGTCCATTATTCCTGCTGATGCGCCACAATTATTTAAATTTACCAAATCAGCTGGGCACATGTCAAGATCTTTTTCAGTGCAATAACACATGTTCTCTACAGTTCGTGCAAAATTGTCATCTGTCGCGTAATACCGAATTGTATCTATTCCTTTTACTGAAACTGATTTCATCACTTTTGGATCATGAGCAAACTTAATTGATCTGCATAGCATTGGTTCAAATGCATAGATGACATCGTTTTCAGTGAGAAACGGTTTAAATTGAACTGCATCAGTGCCCTTAATGTCGTTACAACTACCACTTTTATTCCAAACGTCTTGAGTACTAATAAAAAATGTGTCAAAATAAACCAGGCTTTTAAAAAATAGTATTTACCCGTTAATTGATTTATCATAATTAATGTACTGATAAAGTTTAGAAATATCATGTTTGCCAGTGTCCACAACTTGAATAGGATCTTTTGCTTCGGTGTCCTAAAAAATAACTTTTAAAACTTAAATGTATTGATTTTTTATAATTTGTTTTACGTTAAAAAAGTTTTTATTCATCATCCAGGGTAATTTTCCAAATGCAATATCGTAAGCACCGATTGGTGTTGCGATTGATTTTAAATGATCTTTAACTTCTGGAAAATGTTCAGGGCCTTTAGCAGATAAAGCTTTTAAGAAACTTCCAACAACTCCCTTTAAAATTTAAAAATTAGTTTTGTTTGTAATGGTTTAAACAACAAAAAACATACAAAAAGAGGAGAAACCATCATAATTGTGTCATTAAAATGATTTTTTTCAGAAAGTTTTTGGTTAAAGATAAAATTGCGTTTCTCTCTGTATGTTACACTTGATCCATCTTTACTAAACTCAATGTCATATTTTTCTCTATATTCATCATAAACAAATGGCCCAATTTCAGAATAATTAAGTTTCATAACGTCTTTAGATGTATCAAACTCTTTGGCATTGTTAATGCGAAAATACGTCATTTTCCATTGAAGAGGAACAGGTAGTTTTTTAAAAAAATCAAACTCATCAGTGCCATTGCGCAATTGCATTTCATCTTTAACTCTGTTGTGAATCACATTTGGAACAACAAGCCAATGGAGAACTGCTCCAGCAACTAGTAATATGACTCCTAAAACAGCGGTTAAAATAATTATAATTTTGTTCATTGTAAAACAATTAAAAAATTAACAAAAAGTATTTCAAAATGTTGTTGATTAACAAAATAAAAAAAAATTTTTTAACAGAAATTTTTGTTACTAATTTTTGTTTGTTTGTCATTTTTATGTGTTTTTAAAAATTGTTTTAGGCTCTTGTGTTGTTTATCGCTTCAGACAATAACTATTGCAATCAACACAATACCACAGGTGAATGCATAAATAATATAATCAATAGTGTAAACATAACGGTTTTAGAGGTTGCAAAAAGTATTTATTGAAACAATGCCAAATCGTCACGCAAAAATATCATTTATGTTTTAAACTTGCTACTAATATACAAGTGTGCTGTACTTGTTTAACGACAAAAAAACTAGTTAAATGATAATATTGGCTACTTAAATATATGACTATTTATGCTGTTAACTAAACTAACTTTAAAAAATTTTTAAAAACAAAAACTAGAGTTTTAAAAATGTTGTAATTTTTGTAAAATGTACAATAAAATTAAATAGGTAATAAATAAAAACAGAAAATAAATTAAACTTGTTTAATTATACACTTTATGACCACCTCGCGATTCATATGTGCTTTTTGCTTTGTTTCGGAAAAACACTGCACAACCGCCGGCGATGACCATCAAGAGGGCACCTAGTGTCATCATTACAATCATGGCAATTGTTGCTGCTTTCTTTGGAGTGATGGCTTGATCTTTCAACTTTTGAGCGTTTTTCTCATCAACCTCGCCACCTTCTTCAATCATTACTATTGGCACAAAAACTTTTTCTCGATCGCCTTTCAAATCATCTAAAAATCCAGTTCTAAACCAAAAAATTTAGTTTTAATAAGTTTATTCAAATCAGCTAAACTTACTTAATAGAACCTTTTTTAAGCTGAACATACAATTGTAGACGTTTTCTGGCATTTAAAACTACTCCTGTAAGCTAAAAAAACAACAAAATAAATAAAAATAAATTATTTATAAATTAATCTTTAAGTGTAACACGTACCGGTTCAACATCAACATAAGTGCCGTAATTTTCATAAGTCATAGGTAGTGGTGCATGAATTGTTGTGTTTCTAAGATTTTCTGGAAATGGTTGAAAGTAAGGTGAGCTAACAAGCATGTCCATCATTCCTTTTGCAACACCACAATTGTTTAGATTTAGCAAATCTGCAGGGCACAAATCAAAGTTCTTTTCAGTGCAGTGGCATTGATTTTCAGGAATTCTGGCGAAATTGTCATCAGTCGCATAGTATCGAATTGTGTCAATTCCTTTAATGGAAGTTGATTGCATAACTTTTGGATCATGTACCAGTTTAAATGATTTGCAAATCATTGGTTCAAAAGCATATAAATGATCTTGTTCAGTTAAAAATGGTTTAAACTGAACAGCATCTGTGCCTTTAATGTCATTGCATGGACCAACA